ATATACTGTGCACGCATCCACCTTTTATTATCAACTCTATTCTGCGTGACTTGCATATATCGAATCATTTTAAAACTATCGTTTGAGTTAAAAAATATTCCTACCGAATATAAGGCTACAGGCATTCTTTACAGTAAACCAAAATGTAGTTTTTCATGGAATGACTTTTAAGTATGACATTGCAAGTCGCACGAAAACGAACACATCTACAAGTTATATCGCCATCTTCATGTATAAATATGCTCAATCAAATCAAGCCTGCAACTTTTCCAATATGTGCCGTGTTTTTTTTTTTGTTTTGTTTTTTTGGCGTTCTCAAGTGTAACCATTTTGAACCATTTTATGGAAGGTATAATCTGTAATACTAGAAGATAAATTTGTGACAGAACTTACGTATTTCAACTTAGTGGAATGTGTCCCAAATACGGCTTGATTTTCTTCTTCTGTTTATCATATTTTCAAACCGTTTATATAATAATAGTTCTTAAAAAAAATCGCATGTCGAGATTTGGGTATTTGTGACCGCTTACATGTATATCGATAGTTTCGTTATTGTTAATTAAAAGCGTGTTTTCTGTTACATGTCTCTTAAAATCAAAGTAAATACTTTCGTACAATTTTATCACTAGAAACACATATAAATCCGACTATTTTTCAAAGCGTCCTATCACCTAAGTAATGAGATTTCTTTGGCATACCGGGGCTTCTTGTCTCTGTTATGTAACACTTCTCAAACACTCAACAGCTTAGAATCATGATCAATGCCGTAGGAACAGAATAAATAGTTTTATTTGTGTCATAGAATATTGTAAAGCAGCAGTCATACATAAGACTTTACTTCAAAACAAAACAACATTAACTTAACGTTTAGTATAAATACAATAATCTGATATATCTTTGTTTTATAAGACTAATGCGAATACGAATTCAATCTCATTTTTCAATACCACCGAATTATAAAGTGTTCGCTTAAAACAAATATATTAAAAGAAGAAAATATTGATCGTTTTACGACAAACTGTAATCGTTCGATTATAACAAAGCAGATGCCACCGCCATGTTCGCAAACATGCTACAAAAAAGGTGCGATTGAAGTGAGGAACTATGGAGGGCGTTCGTTGCCAAAATTCCAGACATGTAAAGTGTTCCTTTTGAAAACTACTTTTGAAAATGCAAACTTGTATGTCTAGCATTTTTTATTGTATTCGTGCACAGCAAATAATATGCCTCTTAATTGAAGGCACCCGCTTTTAAATTAAAAGTTTACATGTAGATCTTAACAACTGACTTAACATGAAATACAGCAATAAATTTATAAGTTCGTATCTCCCATTGCATATAATACATAAGCATGTTAGCACACTTATCATGCTTATAGATATCTAACCATATCTGAGATATATAAATGAAATGTAAAACTCGAATACAGAAAATAGAGTTTAAGAAAACGTGTTTCCAGTTGTAGAACTGCAACAGTACGTTTACACAGTAACATATTTAAAATAACAAAAGTAGATTTACAAACTTAAACGATTTTAAGTCATGCATGACGCCCCGCCCCTCTTTGAGTATTTAGAAACTTCTGTTACGGAAATGTACGGACAGGTATAAAACCCGGCGCCTCTCTCCTATTTCTCAATAAAGTGAAGGAAAACACGACGTCCCTTCTAACTTTTCTTTATATTTATAAAAAATTAAATAATTTTGGCATCAAATTAAAGATTACTCTATAAGCCTTCTATGAATGCTTCAGAATTAAAATGAATTAAACAGAAGTATTAAAATTTTTCTGTCAAAATTTATCATTTTTTCCTCTGAAATTTACTCTCTCAAATTGGTAAGAAAAACACGGCGTCCCCTCCAAACATTTTTTATTTCGTAATCAGTTTTGATAATTTTGGATTGAAATAAAAGTGTGCTTCATAAGTTTTATAATATATAATTATATAATGCCTAAAAATAAAAATGAATTAAATTAAAATGAATTAACTTTTCGTTTTTAAGTTTATCATGTTACTTTCTGTAAACCTCACTCTGAAATTCAGTAAGAATAACATGGCTTCCTACTTCCTTTTTTATTTCTTGATAAATTTTGATAATTTTAGAGTGAAGTAAAAGAATCTTTCATGAACTTTCTATGGATGCCTTAAAAATAAAAAAAAATACGTAGAAGTGTTAAAAATTTTGTTTCAAACTTGTAGTTGTTTATTTTTCTCTCTCTTAAAACCATACTCATATATTCGGCAAGAAAACCACGTCGCTCCCTTTAGATACTTTTTAAAATAATCAATGTTCAAATAGAAAATGAACATTGAATGAAAGTTAAGACCATAAGCTTTGAACAAGTATATTAAAAACGTATTTATTTATACTAAATATACCTTATTAAAGATTAAACATATGTGCTACGGATAAGTATTTTCTTGATTTCGGAAAGGAAATCTCGGTGGCCGCTTTAAAATCCATTTTTTTCAAATACTTGTTTAGTTATTGTTGAAAATGAAATTTGTGCCAATACATTTTTCAATGATACCAATACAAATATTGGATGGTGTTTAGATTATGAATACAATTACTCTCTTGAAGTTGGTCATTTTCCCCCTAAAAAATTCCAAATCGCCGATGTTTCTCAGGAAAACACCCGGTTACATAAAAGTTACTGCATAAGTTATCTTCATCATTTTGTATCAAACAAATGGTAAAATCAGCAATTTTCAAGTGTTATAGCTAGTGACAAAACGTTTGTAACAAATGTAACAAAAATATGTTAGGAAAAATGCGGCATGTTTTCCTTCAGTTTAATTTAGAAATAGGGGAGAGACGCCGTTTTGTACCTGTCCGCAATAGAAGTTCGTAAATACTCAGAGAGGGGCGGGGCGTTATGCTTGACTAATAATCGTTTAACTTTGTAAATCTACTTTTGTCATTTTAAACATGTTACTGTTTAAACGTACTCTTGTAGTTCTAAAACTGGAAACACGTTTTCTTAAACTCTATTTTCTGTATTTGAGTTTTACATTTCATTGGTATATATTTCAGATCTATAAGTGTGCAAACTTGCATATGTATTGCATGCAATGGAAGATACGAACTTGTTAATTTGTTGTCGTTTTCCATGTAAGATCAGTTGTAACGATCTATATGTAAACTTGTTTTATAAAGGCGGGAACATTCAATTAAAAGATTGAATTAAGAGGCATATTATGTGCTATGTACGGGTACAATAAAAAATGGTAGGCATACAAGTTCGCATTTTCAAAAGTGATTTTTAAAAGGAACACTTTACATGTCTGGAATTTTGGCAACGAACGCCCTCCATAAGGAACTGATATTTGGATATACAGACAGATGTTATGATCCAAAGATTAAGCTATTTTCATTTAGTCCCAGCTCGAAATAAAATCATCGTTTATGTAGGGAAAAGCAGGCATTAATTAGTTTAAAGGCACATTATGCCTAATTTCTTTGGAAACACCAATCATGAATTTAATTATGTTTGAAAATGGTTTTTAGAGAATGAAAAATGCAAGAAATGTTACCCGAAGAAAGAAGCAATATGTGTGAAATAACTTGTCACGAAACTAGAAGTAGTATTTTGACTTCCATACAAAATACTATTTCTCTGTAACTGAATTTATTGCAAAAAAGCAACAGATGAAAAATATATTGTAATTGGCCAATGAGTAACCTTTCAGAGACTATAAAAATGAACTTTTCTGCGCATTTCTGAGACATAATATACTTTTAAAAACATGAAGAAAATAAAAACAAACAACAAAAAATAACGCACTAGTTTTAAAAAATCAAGAACTTCAGAGCAAGTGAAATCCAGTGCAGAATTATTTTAATCATGCTTATTTTTAAAGTAATTGACAAATATTTAGTATTCCATCAGAAACATGTGGTGATTCCTGACATATCTTTATCAACATCTACCTCTTAGTTTTATTATTAGCTAATTAAGGTATTATCAGCCGAGCTTATACAAGTATGGGTATCAGACGTACCATTCCCGACCTCGCAAATCTTGGAAGAGTACACAGTTGTACAAATGGCGGTTCCCAGGCACATACCAAAAAGAAACAGCATATCTTGCAATAAATGGACTTTTACCTGGGTAAAATTACAAACAACCAAATGATAACAACTTTTTTTTATTATCAAAATAGCCATTTTATTTCTTATCATAATAGCAGATCAACGATACATTCTTAAAAAGAAAATATTTTATATTTATTTGTATTTTGATTAAAATGTCGATATTATTGACCCTGATAACTCAAGAGTATAAATAAGATTTTCAAGTATTTTTTTTCATATTCTGCACTGAATATTTGGAAAATGTATTTTCTTTATTACATATAATACTAGATATCATCAAGATTATAAAATAATGTTTGTTTACATATTTTTTAGAGATGACTTAATAATTTGTATAACTATCATATTTGATCTGTCATCAGTGAAATTGATATAAACCGTTATTTAATCAAAATGTTAATTCTGTTTATTTCACTTCAATTTATAATACATGTATACAGTAAAATATATTTGTGTACAGTTTTTTTGCTGTTGCGATATAAGTTATAAAAAATGATGAAAATCTATTGGATATGCACTTTTGATTCTACAAAATATAATAACATTTTAGACCATATGGATCATTTTCCAAACAAACGTAGTTATATTGCATAACATCATGTTTCTTTTTTTTTGTCTTAACAAATTCAAACTGGTGTACTTTCTTTATAAAAAAAAAACAAAAAAAAAACAAAAAAAAAACATCAATATTGTGACTGAATTGATAAAGTGTAAGCCAAAGGATATAAAACATTTATTTATTACTGAAACTTATAAAATAATCACTTATCATTTAGATGATAAAGTCAGCATTATAATACATCCGCTTATATTATTATTATTTCAAAAAGACCATGGTGTTAAAATCATTTATATTTATCTTAAATTTTATATGATGTGTAATTATTTTGTATAAATCATATATGTATTTCATTTTATTTAAATTAAAACCAAATTTTCAAATCCATTTACTGTAGATCTAAAGGATATCATTATAGTCAATATCACTATTACTTTGCGTTTTGAAAAAAATTACTGTTTCTGAAAAAAAAGTGAATTTTCAAAGGAAGTTTTTTTTTCTTTCTATATAACAAAATAACACTTCCATATATTGAAACGTTTTCTAAAGTGTATTAGCTTACAACTTCATCTGTTCTTTTGCCTATCAAAGAGCTTGCAAGGTCATCAAATTGTCTTTTGAACAACATGTTTTTATTTGGATATGGCTCATTTTCCAAATCGCCGTTCATGTTTTCATTATCTGTCGTCGCTTGTCCACTTCTTTTCCCAACTAAACTGCTTGCCAGAGTATCAAAATACCTATATCTCTTATCATACCAGTTTCGTTTAGCATTTAACAATGTTCTGAAATGTGTGTTGCCAATATTTCGTTTTCCGACAAGACCGCTAGCTAGGGTATCGAAGTATCTGTACCTTTTTCCTACCAAACCACTGGCAAGCGGATCAAAATGTCGTCCATCGTACCGTTTACCGACCAACCCACTTGCAAGAGAATCAAAATGCCTTCCGTCATATCTTTTGCCAACTAAGCCACTTGCAAGACTATCAAAATGACCTCCGTCATATCTTTTGCCCACCAAGCCACTTGCAAGACTATCAAAATGCCCTCCGTCATACCTTTTGCCGACCAAGCCACTTGCTAGACTATCAAAATGCCGTCCGTCATATCTTTTGCCGACCAAGCCACTTGCTAGACTATCAAAATGCCCTCCGTCATACCTTTTGCCGACCAAACCACTTGCAAGACTATCAAAATGCCCGCCGTCATACCTTTTTCCGACTAAGCCGCTTGCAAGACTATCAAAATGCCCTCCATCATACCTTTTTCCGACTAAGCCACTTGCAAGACTATCAAAATGACCACCATCATATCTTTTGCCAACAAGTCCACTAGCAAGAGTGTCAAAGTACCGTCCATCATATCTCTTGCCAACTAAACCACTTGCTAATTGATCAAAACTTCCATCACGATATCGTTTTCCAACTAGTCCACTTGCAAGTGGATCAAAAGTCCCACCATCATATCTTTTCCCCACTAAACTACTTGCAAGTGGATCAAAACTTTGTCCATCGTAACGTTTTCCCACCAGTCCACTTGCCAACATATCAAAGCTTTTCTTTTCGGCTTCTCCACTTGGAAAACTATCAACATTATCGTCTTCAAAAAGATGTCCATCATCATCAGGGACATTTATAATTTCCCCTTGGTCACTAATAACCGTATCACGCTCAGTCCGTTTTAATTTTCCGCCCTGTGAATCTAAATCTCCCGAAGTTTCGCATAGTGTTCCTTGTATATAACTGTTAAGAAAAAGAACATATTTTGTTAATAAAATCAATCTGATAATTTTTCAGCATTAAAAGGTATATAGCATTGCCTTAAGAATCTTTCAGTAGTCTGATGCTGGCTAATAGGCATAGTTATAAATTAGTTTGTAAATTTACACCTGTAATTTCTTTTAATTTTCTACTCGCATCATGGAGATGAATTGTCAATTAAGGTCGGTGCCCGCATTTAGTATTTCGTTATATGTCTGGTAATCGAGAAGGTATATTATGATTTAATATACTACACGTTTGTCACGTTGCATTTCTTTGGATAGTCGTGACGTTTATTTTGTTTTTTTATAATACTGCACGTTTGTAACGTCGCTTTTCATTGGATAATCGTGACGTTTATATGATTTTATAAACACGGCTTTCGATTCATGAAAAAATCTTACTTTTTTCTCTAAAAATGATGCTTGCTGTATTATAAATTAGTTATAAAGATTATTGACAGGTTATATGGCCCTATATAAACGGCTATTTGTAAATATGACCCGAGCCGCTAGATTTATGAAGAAATCTCACATTTTCTCTCTCTCTTTAAAAAATGATGCTGGTTGTATTATACATATTTCTGACATATTAAATGGCCGTATATCAACGGGCGTTTGCAATAATATAACCCTCGCCGCTCGGGTTATATTTACAAACAAAAATACCGTTTATGTAGGGCCATATAACCTGTCAAAAATCTTTATAACTAATAATATACATGCATACTCTTTACCTTTTGCTGAGCGTTTGCAGAATATATATTTAATTCTGTAAATTGTCTCAATGCGTGATACCAAAATAATTTGTATAAATTAGAAACTTTGTAAACGATATGAAAAAAGTATTATATAATTTTTCAAGAAGATATTTCAGATTTAATATTTTCTAAAGAGTCTCCGTTCAATGTGATTGTCATTATTTTATGATTGCGCTTTAATTGACTGTTGTTAAATAAATATATAATAATTCTTACCATCGATTTTAAACAACAAACAGTAACACTACCAGTTTAAGATAAACTATTTAAACACATGTATGTTTTTCCTTTCTTATAGCCTCGATTGTCCGTTTATAATTCTAAATTTATAACCAGTCCAAACGTTTACAACTAGTTATGTACTTAACTTCTATTAAGTTTTCCTTTTTTTTTAATTTGACAGAAAAATATTAAAATCAAACTTACATAACAGATATCAAAGTGACCACGAAATATACTCCATGTTTTGCCATATCACAAAAAAGTTCGAGCTCGGTTCTTCGAGTCTGAAAATAACAAAAAAGTGAAAGTACAAACTCGGGGAAATGAAATCATTTAATACAAACATGTTCTCTGGCTATTAATATATATCCCCATGACAAATTCACGATCCTGTTTGTCCACTTTACATAAAACGTGGCATTAATGCGAGAGGAATTATCTTGAAAAAATTTCATTATTCCGGAAACTTTATTTGATCAGTATTAGCTGAGGGCGACTGAATTGTTAGACGATTTCATGGTAATTGCCTTCTGAGAAAAAATGTGAATAGACTTGTGAATGGTTGTTGGTTATTTAGGTAGACTTTTGTTCCCCCGTATTGTGCAAGGACAAAACAATGTTTCATTGCAACTCGAAACACACATGCATAAAAAACTGCCGGCACTGATCAAAACTATTTCAATATTCAAGTAGGGTTGCTAAGAATAGCACTGCTTTAATTGGTCACCGGTTTTGAAATGCGTTAACAATATTTAAGTCGCCCTGGCTCCGCTGCCAAGAATCATACTCCTAAAAGTTGCTAAATTATTTAGCTTTTTTATCGTTTTAAAGTAGGATAAAACAAGACGAAGCAGATTAAATAAAAAAAGACATAAAATAAGTTTAAAATGGTTAGCAATTGAACTTCAATCAAACAACTAGATGTTGTTTGTTTTGTTTAACATATCTAAAAATGTAGATTGCTACATGTTCGTTTCCTGCTTGCATGAATTTCAATGTACTGTAAGAAGAGGAAAATATCACTTTTTCGTCAATTAATGAAATGGTTGAGTGCATCGTCAGATTATGAACAGGGAAAGAGCAAGTGTTTTTCTACAGTAATTTGTCGATAGTTCAATTCATTTAAAGCTTCTCTGTAAACCCCTAAGTCTACTTCAGTGGTTGTTAAAAGTAATTACCAGCCTATTCTTTGCTGCTAAAATAAGATTTGCTCCAATAAATATTGTTATCTGAGCCGCTCATATGGCTTTGAAATTCCTGATTTTCTGATAATGCAGATTGATTGTAAATTAAGTGCGAATATGTTCAAGCAAATGTCAGATATAAAATTATTGTAGAGTTGTGAACTTGTGCAACTGGAATAAAAATAAGATGTTATAACAAATATTTATAAAACACATGGATACATCTATCAAAGTATTGAGTCATTCATGCTGGGTTTTACAGATAAAAAAAGTCAAGACTATTAGATGATCTTAAATGTACTATATGCTGTTTTTCACAAAACAACTATGAACTTACCATTGTGGGCTTATGCTTTGTCATACTAAATGTTTACAGGTGAACTTCAAATTTTTAAACATAACTGAGCATAATACCCTTATTTCATTTTTTTATTGAAAAGTAAAGAAAGTAAATTCCAAACAATATTTATCAAAATACTATGTTTAATAAAAGCTAAATAAATTTCAATACAAGCATTTTTAATGTTTTCTTTGGATATTATATTCTTCGTGATTCTGTGATAGACATCCTTAACATTAAACAAAGTCTGCAATTTTATCCCTTGTTTTGAAAAAAAATATTAATTTATTTATTTACTTGTTTATTTATTTTAAGACAGAATCATTATTAAACGGGACAATCAAACAAATAAAACAAATTAAATGCTTCACAGCTTTTATCAGAAATGACATCCTTTCTTAGTGTCCAAAGATAAAATGTCGTAACTAAGCAATAGGTACACAGAGGATATATCTTTTTGTGTGCGAAAATGCTTTAAACAAGTATATATCTAAATCAGGAGTAAAGTATTGCAATATTTCCACGAGTACTAAGCGTGAAATGAAATGAGACTATTTTCTCGATTCGGTGATTGATATTCATGAACAGCAAACACATTTTATTCTTCTTTATACTAATTAGTAAAATAAGGGCAGTTTTCGACTTTTGTCATTGAACCGCGGAAAAAAGACACATGTAAAGTAATTGGCGTCAGACATTCAATGGCCACACAAACAAAAGTTAAACACATATGTATTTATTGCATTAGAGTAACTTTTAACAATTTATTTATAAGAAAAATAATGATATTTGAATAAAAAAAAATATGTCATTTAGGACATAAACATTCAATTAACCTTCAAGTTAATTTGCAGATTAATGGATCATAGAAAATAAAACGTTTCCAAAAGAACACACCAGGGGAGAAATACTAAGAGTGATCTGGATTTTATCACACGTGTAAAGCCCAGTTCCTCTCTGGTTAGCATCAGTATCATTATTATAGTTTTATAACGTTGTTGGATGATCATTGAACTTTTGGTGAAATTAAAGGGCATTAGTTTTGAGAATGTAACGCAATATTGATTTGTGTTTTGATGTACATTGACCGTTATCAGTCACCAGAGACATAGATAACATCTATGTCTCTGCAGTCACGTAGCATGACTTGCAGATACCTGTCATTTGTAATATACATCGATAGAGTTCAGTCTATGTTAATTAGGTATAATAAAACTAATTAAGTTATTTCATTTTAAATATCATATTAATAATATCTTATTTTGTTTTACTTTCATGATAAGGTGACGGAAAGTTTAATTTGCATTACAAGTGCGGGTCATTAGTATCTCAAATAGATAGTTTAAAGATAACTGTATAAGTTGTTAATTTTGCTATTTGCGAGTTTTGAAAATTGAAAATTATTCGCAAATAATTCATCACGCAAAAATTATTTCTTTTAAGGCAAGTTTTCTTCTTTAATTTGAAAACACGTTTTTAAATGAATAAGTTTAACTGTTCAGGTACTGGGATTAGTTTTTCTCATTGCTTGTTTGTTTAAGTTTGGTCTTAACGAATCGCAAGTGTTTTCATGAAATTATATATGTATGTGTTAAAAACATAAAAAGGTTATTCATATAACAAAAGAATGTTTCAAAATATGACAAAGAAATGTGTGATCATGTCGTCTATCAATCTAACAATGTATATTTCAAACTATTATATAAATGATAAATGTGATAAATTACTGAATAGAACGATTACAATAACGACATATTCTCAACATGTACCTGCTTAATTAAAGATATCACAAAAATGTATTAAATTCAATAAATCATGTTTTTTGCAAATATTTCCGCACGCAAAAAATCCACTTTTTGACATTTGCAAAGTTTTTGTGACGCAAAAGATATCCTCTTATACAGTATTAAGAGTACCTATTGCATATGAATGAAATATAAGTAAATAAGCTTTAAGTATAACACTGTTTTTTTGTGATTTGTGTCGCTGTTTTACATTATTCTAATGTAAAGAAGTTCAAAATCAGAATCAAAAAGGAAGTCGAAGAATACCAACAACAATTCTTTAGTTTTCTTTTGTTTATTTATGTAATAGAATAATACTGTAAGACTATCACTGAAAAATAAATTGTATAATTCTATAGAGGCACTGTTAGTCTTTGACTTTCGTTTCATGGGATATATTTTTGTAATCTAAGAGAATTGAATTACAATAATGAATTTCCAGGAACGCCGAAGGATATGTTGTGTATTAACAAAAAAGATAAAGGAATACTTTAATCTTTTTCACATTGCAAATATTAAAGGTTATGACTTTAACTTGACATCGATCACTAAACGATCAAGATGATGCTATTGAAACCATACATTTAAAGGTCATCAAACGTTATGAAAATCGCGACATTTCGTGGTGTCACATATTTGAGACAGTGCTACATTTATAAGCCGATTTGTGTATTCGGTACACGCCCAATTTTCTAGTGACTTTCTTTCAAATGTAATAATGCATACACTGGAAAGGTGTTAACAAAGACAAATCGTCATTTTTATACTCATGAACTCAATTCGTTATATTTTAAGAACGCTTTTTATGCATTTAAGCTATTCCAAATATTATAATTCGCACATACTAGAACATTTAATATTAAAATTATGAATAATAAATGAATATAAAAATAAAATATATAATAAATTAAACTTTTAAATTGCGTTATTTTATATTTATTAAGAGTCTCAGTTTCGAAAAGAAGATATACATGTAACTTCTTATTATGTTAAACATTAAAGGCAAACATTATACGTTAAGTTCATTTGCACTTGCCACGACATGCTAATAACCACCATGACGTTACCAGTGATGTTAATATCCTGCAGTATAACAACAATAAAGAAAAAAGGACAAACAATGAAATCCGAAACAATACAAAAAATAAGAACCGTATCTTATGTTGCAGAAAAACAGTTTTTTTCTAAACAATTTGTTACATTAATTATAAAGTGAAGAAGACGAAATATCCATTGAAATGAATCTTGTTTTCTGTCACATTGTGTGTAATCCAACACTTCTTTATTGATTGAATCTCATTCATTTTCATTACTTTGTTTCCGGTGCCAGACTTAAGCCAAAAGCAAAAGAATGTCGCCTGTCATTTGATCATTAACAGCACTTAGTTCAAGAAAAAGCTCCCAAAATGAGTTTCTGCAACAACGTCTCGCATTCGTTCCTAGAAATCGTATCAAATCTGAGCAGATATATTAAATCGCAAATAATTACTAAGGGAGGAAACAGATAAATCAAATAAGAACTTAAGAATTGCAAATAATTATATTTCAAGTCCATCATGCCAAAAACGTGTCAAAAATATTTAAATATGCGGAGGTAAAATGTCATTATTTAAAAGAAAAAAATGGATGAGAAATGTATTCAAGTTGAATATAATAATATAAATATCAGTACATTGTGTTGTTTTTTCCTCTACTTTATTGATAAAACGGTGTTGCTTTTTCATTACAACAAGAAAGACAATATCAATTGATAAAAGTAATGTATAAACAGGAATGAAATAAAATTCTTATGTAATTTTTGAGAATTTCAAATTGTGATCAATAAAGAAAAAGAGACAGCATCATAATGATGAATAGGTAAAGAAATTCATATTAAAGTTTTTGAAATATCATAATTTTGATTTTTGACAGCATACAAATGTATGAATAGAATAATTAGAATATAATACTGTAAGAACTTATTCCTACCTTTATAATTAAATGATTGATATTCTTATTGCAAATAAACTGACAGAGAAGTTTACATGTATATCTGATGTAAGCAAAGTTATACAATTTATTGTAATATAATTATAAATTGTGACAGGTTTCATTTGTTGTTATTATTTAATTAAAATCGTAAAAAATATTGAAAAATACAAACATAATTTCAGTAGCGTATACGGGGAAATTCTATTTTTTTTATTCAAAAGCGGTCATTAACAATGATTTAATGTAAGTATATCAGGAGTGTCATACCTTATATTTTAACTGAATAATAAAAGTCCTAAACAACATGCAAACAAATAGTTTCAAAAGCAAAAAAATAAGTAATTTATATTTGTATCAAATTTTTCCCTTTTTTCCCATTGGTTTACAAAGTATCAAAACTGTTAGAAATATTTCATAACTATTTAATACGATTGAATTAATACATTTGATTAAAGATTCTGTTAAATTTTGTTAAATTTTGATTTGTAACATAAATTTTAAATTTCAGTTACAGTTTATTTCTCCTTAACTTAATTTTGAGAATTATAAAGAATACAAAATTATCTAAAATATATTCACTTGTTCACTTGTTTCATTTGAATGCTTTATGTTTAAAAATTGATATAAGTTATTAATAACTTATGTAAGTAATCTATACTTAATACAAAAAATACGATACTTATTTATCAATAATCAACGAAATTATTTTCAATATATACTTTATTCATTTTTTGTTTAAATGCTTAAAGCATTTTTTTAAAAATATTTGAAACTTTTGTTTAAATGCTTAAAGCATTTTTTTAAAAATATTTGAAACTTTCTATCTTACCTTCAACGCAATAACTTTCCGTTAGAATTCTCTTTCCGTATTAGATTTCACTTCACCAGTCCTCGAGCTGTAATTTTCAACTCCAGTAAATTGACTCTATTCACCTCCTTTAAAAGACTTCTTGTTCAGCCCACGTGACTTCCAATATTTACACTGAGAGCTCAATCAAAATAATCAAAGACTTTTATTGCTAGGGGAATTCCAGAGTGACGGAAACGATGTTAAGGTGTTCTGTGTTCGTTAAAAATCAACTTGATCCATTGTGTACATTTGCCTTCGCGAATATTAATGAACCATATGGAATATCTCGGATATTGAAGCTTTATTGGAAAAGTATCAAAGTTATTCTGGAATTTCTTGAATATTATACTATCAGTTTCTAGTGTCACCATATCGTAAATAATATGTCATCAGTTTTTTTCGATACTCCATATTTAAAAACTCTCCAATTTCATGCGCTTCTGAAATCATGAAATAATTAGAGAGATAAGAACACGCAGAAAAAACATGATATCCTTGTATGTTCGAAGAAAAATATATATTTACGTGCCTATCGTATGATAACTAAAAAACAACAGAATAAATAAAACGTGCGACGGTATGATTTTTAATGTTTCGATTAGTTTGACAATGTGTTTGAGTTTAAACTTACTGAAATAAAATGTTTAAACATATTTATGACTTATTTTATAACATATTTAAATTGAAATGGTTTATTTGGTAAAAACAACAATTCTCAAACAAAAACAAGTGTTTGGGTTCCAAGTAAGGCATTTGTTTTCACCATTTGAGACAACAAAAGGGGGGAAGCGTAAAAAGGCGTGTATATGGGTAATATAGAACATCAATAGGTTAATAAGACAAAAAATCATGTTTTTACAAAATGTCATATTTTGTTTCTTTTTTGTTGTCAAATTCTAAAATGTGCAAGAACAACCAAAATTTAGCAGGAATCTAGCATCTTACCCATCAAATATATGAATTTATATATTTAAACAACAACTACTGATGTTCATGCTGTCTATTGACAGAAATAGCGTAAAAAGTGACTTAAAATTTCACAAATAAGTTAAAGCAAATAAAGTTTGTGATTTGTGACATTTATGAATTATATAGTTTCTTTATTTACAGTATTGCATTTATTATTGATAATTATATACAAAAGTGAGTTAGAAGTTTTTCCTACTATACACGTATAATAAAATATTAAGTTATTTATTTAAAAAAAAAATTAGTTTCCTTATTTTTATTATTTTTGAATTACCTATATATGTAGAAAGATTGCATAATCTTAATTAACTGTTCTAATAATTTACCTTATGATAAAACAGCGAATGAGCATTGGATAAACATGTCTTTTATGTCTATCTGCTTTAAAAAGAGTTACAAACAAAAAACATTGCCGCATGCCTCTAGTGTCACTCTCATTTTCAGGAAAATCTTTAATATGTATCCAAAATTAATGATATTGTGAAATGAACAAAGAAAATTATTGAAACATTGCAAACGGCATTTACTATTCTACGTACATGTGGTTTAAAAACTTTCTTAGGTTGACATCTTTTCCTAACGTCATTTGAATTAATTTGATGTCAATTCTACTTAGTCGTAATACATCTTAATATGCTTTCGTCGTAATACTTTATAACGCATCACGACTGCCATTTAACTATGTGTTGTTATCTGACGTATATTGTATCGTTTTGTTTTTCTTGTTTGAGTTTCACTTACTCAACGAGGCTGTCGTTTTCATGACTATATGCCAATGCTATACGCCGTATTTGTCAGACTAAACTAAATTCATTGTAACAGTTTAGATCTCTACTTTAAATACATTTAACTTTAATAATAATGTTAACATAATAGCTATATTTTTGTATGTTTTTGCTAATAGCTATGCAGCTTAATTTAAAGAAGCATTTATTATTTTGAACCCGGGTCTTAATATTTAGATTTCTATTTATGTTTGGCTACGAACACTTCGCCCAAGATTTTAGTAAAATGACTGGTGAACCATCTGTAAATAAGTAAACTAGATATATGTATAGCTTTTTTTCTACCAGCTCGTCACTAAATATAATGGTTCTTTTTTATTATCAACAAGATAACGTTCAATAACTACCTTAACTACCTTATATGGTTATATTCCAAGGCAAAGCATGATTCAAACTTCTAAACAACTAACAAACAAATCTCTATGGGGGATTTATTTTATAACATATTGAATCATCCTGAATTAATTTGCTTGGAACTATGAATATTTTTTAAACTAGATCAAAACCAACAATGACATTACTTTTGCTAAAAACTATTGAATCTTCCTCCTGAGTGGATCTAGTGTTTTCAAATGTTTACAGTGTTTCAAATACTTTTTTAAATAAACACTTAAATACATCCTGCAAAGTTATAAAAAATAACAGTTCTACTATAATTTGAAGTCAGGTAGGATTTGGACAAACAAGAATCAAGATCAAAGCAGCACACTTGTATTGTTATTTTATGAAATTGATATGATAATTGATTTTGCTATGACGTGTGTACTTTATTTGAAATTGATTTTAAGTACTTAAGCATTTCAAAGGCTCTTCAGCTGGAAGTTGGTGCGAATATATTTCTTCATTGTGTTAGAAACATTATTATATGACAGAAAATAGTTACAAGAACTAATTCAAAATAAGTTCGTTTTATATTATCAGACTATAAAAATACTTTTATACAAGATTTAAGAGATGAACATTTTGAGTTAAACGCCAGCTTACGAGTTTGGAGCCGGCAAGTCAAATGATTTGTTTTTAATCGTCAGGTCATATTATATCAGTCTAAATTAAACATGTTACCGACACGTATAGCATGTTGAATGACTAGACACAACAATATGATTTTCAATATGATGAAATAAATAGTTGGATAGATAAATATTTACTGAATTGAATTAATCCAGGTCGTGGAATTGTTTTATGATAATGTATTCATAACATGACATTGTAAACGTATATTTGATATGGAAATTGCTTCAATGCCTTGTTTCAGATCTTATTCAATCTCTTCTTTCAATAATGTAAATTTACATTACTGATATTTAAAAAAAAGTTAACAGATGCAGAGCTGGAAAAGATAATGTGCAATTTGTATTGACACTGATATTTGACGTATTTAATTTTGAAACTTTTGTCTTGCATTAATAAGCAATAAATACCAGAACCTGATGGTTCAGAGTCCGTAATAGATCTGTTCAAAATATGAATTGTATAACCTTTTAATGTCTACATATGTGAGTAATACAACAATTAAGCCTTATGTAAAGACATTTTTGTTTTCAAACAATACTAAAATGGGACGGATATTTATTCCAATGAAAACATTAACTGAGACGTACCAACTCATATAATATGCATAGAATGTGCTTGGCATATATTACAATTTAACAAAAGGCTTTCTAGAATATATATTCTAAAAACCTTTAAGGTAAAATTCCTGACCTCTGAAATATTTGCTTAGACTATAATTGTATATATAAAAGCAAAGTGTGTTAAAGAGTATTATCACCAATATTTTACAAAATATAGTTTCATCCATATTCTTGAAGATAAGGATATCATTTGGCCAATTTAGTACGTTCTCTTTCTGAGCAGTTTGCACTTGTGACTCTAAATTGTATAACTGGTATTATATATAACAGTTTTAATATTGCTGGAGCCAAACACCTGGTGGTAAATGCGTAAATATATATATCATCCATTGCGTACAGAAAGTCTCATTTAGCTGATTGACGTTGTTCTCTATTAACACTTCTTTGGCATTTATCTAGGCACTAATTAGACAAAAATGTAAAGACATTAAACTTTTTTTTCATATATATATATTTCATGACTAAAGATCCCGATGGCATGAGTTGGTTTTTGCAAATGCACGTATCTGTACGACAAACTATACAGTCAAATAGAAATAAAATTGAAAGTATATAGAAATTATACATTTTGTTTCTAAAATGTTATGTTACAATCTTTATTATTCGCTTTTACTGCTCATATCTTAAAAGTGATTTTAAAGTAGCTTAGATATACTACAAAAAATGAAATCATTAAGTAATATTTAACCAGATAGGGAAGTCTGACTTTTTTTACAATCTAAGTCGGGCAGAATAAACAATTGATAACAATAACCTTTATTTTTAAAGAGCTTTCCAAACACTGTTGGTAAAATTGCTACATTGTATTTACTATTGTTGAATTTTCGGATTATCGTAGTGATATTGGTTTAAACTGATAAATTGACGACGGTAAACAATCATCTAAACAACAAGAACTTGTAACAATATCATTGCTGATGATTTATTTAACTTAACAAATATATGAAAATGATTTTTATAAACCAAGTTTAGCCATTTGTTAAATCAATGATATTATATGCAATTAAACATTAACTATTTATATAGTTACATTAGATATAATGGCCGATTCCCTCGAAATAATGCACGAACGGGCGTCTGAGGTCTACCTGAAAAGTCGTCATTTCCTTGTTGGTTTGTCATGAAACTCAACTAAAATAGATGACATGTTTAAAACTTGACATCGTTTGTATACAATCACATTCTGCTACCTATCATCCATATTGTTCATGTATATACATGACTTGCTATTAACATAGTTGTAGTGACATTTTGGCAATACTAAGTTTTTTCGAGAACAAAAAGGATTTGGTGAATCGCTATCATTGAGGCTATAAGGTGAAAACTACAAATATTTGATGCGACACATTTTAACTGTAACAAATACTATATTTTATTGGCGAAAAGTTATTTTTTTCCATTTACAGATTGAAAAATAGTATCGCGTTTCTCAATATGAAAGACGAATAAAACAGATGAATAAAACAGGATGGCGTTCAATGGACTGAACTGTCATACGACCAATCAACACAAGGACCATATGGCCACCAGCAAGAAACCCAGCAGGACACAAAACAAAGACAGGACATTACAAAGCAAAAACAAAAATAAACAAAAACAAAAAAATGGACGTTTTTTTCTAAATTCTTTTCATTGTTTGAATTTACCATTTATATTAAACAAATATGAATTCAAAAAGTATAATACACTTAATATGATGCATGCTATGAAAAGTAAATACTGATGTAAAAAGTTGTTTTAACGTTGTTTCATATAGATAACACAGATGAAAACGATAGAGGCCTAATCCAATTAAGTCAAATCGTCTCAAAATAAGACAC